ACAGAATGAGCTTCAAAATATTAATGGCGAAGAAATGACAGAATCAGAAGATTTCGTCAATGCTGAAGAAGAGTGTGCGAATTTATGTCGTCAAGATTCTAACTCTTCATTTGATATAATATCGGATTTTTCCGATGAAGTATGAGCATGAAGGGTCTACTTTAGGGTTTTTGACGCTTCTTGAAAAATTTAGCCTTTCAATTCCAGCCTGGTCTTCTCATCTGGATTTTTGCCTTTCTCTTTGGTGTTCACTTGTATTTACCGTATAAAAATTATGTCAAGGTGTCCTTTCTTGTTAAAGCAATTTTTCATGGCGCCCAGAATGATACATAAACCAAAATTTCAATGATACTCAATCAGAAAGAGAGCTCGGGATTAAAGTGACTGAAGGTGGGAGTCAATTATTAAGTTTGATTCCAATTAATAGGAAGACGTTGGGCTGCGTCTGACTTTGTTTAAAAACTCAACCAGTTTTTCATTTCAGCTGTAAGGATTTTTTTTTACTCTTAATCTCCCATGATCTGATAGTTAATTCTTCCCTCTAGCTGCTACATATTTCCTTGGAAATTAGTTTTGGGAATTTGGAGTTAGATCATGATAACAACTTTTGCCTAATAAGTTTGAGTATTCTCATTACCTGTTTGCTGAATAATCTACTGAAATTATAGGGAGAAGTTTTATGTTAATGACTTCTAGGAGTTAAAGGGCTACCTAAATAAATAAACGCATCCAGTAACCGATTAGCGCATATGTTTTTTAAGTAAATTTTCGCTCTGGCATGTTATTTATGGTGTAATATCTTGAAAGGAAATATTTTAATACGCACTGTATAAACTATAAAAGAAAATTGGTCACGTTGTACTTGATACTCTTGTTTGAATTGTACATATTGACTCATTTGTCGAGAAAAAATTGCGATTTTCATTTATTTAGTGTCTTTGCTCATCATTTTATTCCATAGTGTTTTTGTCCTATAGTTCCTATGATATTTAAGTTATTAGATTTGCGATGCACGAACTTACTTTCCATTCTAAAAGCACACTCTAGAGTTTTCCGTTGCAGCAATGTGAACTGGTATTTGAATGAATCTGTAAAACTGACATGTGCATACAGCAAACTCAAAGTCCTTCTACAGGCCCCCTGCTTCGGAAACTCAACCAGCACAGTGACCTAGCCCATGGGCTGCGCCGTGCAAGGATATGATCCTGACCTAAATCGACAAAACAAGCTAAGAAAGCCCCTACCGAGGGGCTCAACTAGAGAGCGAGCTCCAATTGTTTATGGGGCCCAAAAATCTAACCAGAACTAAAGATAAATGAAAGAATTTGTTAGATGGGCAAACAGCGACATTTTGCACATTGTATCATGATACAATCACTGTTCACGGCTGAAAGATAAGACTCGGAAATATTATATTCTTGGACACAAAAGTGAACGAAAGTGATACCCGGGTTTACTAGAAATCGACCTTTGATGTCCAAGCGCATTACAAAGAGACGAAGACCTTCGAATATTCGAATTTTTATTCGTGTCATTCACGACGCGCAAAGAAAGCATTCGTAAAAGAAGAAGCGTTCCGCTTCCCATGAATAAATTCGTCATGCTCAACGCGCTGAGGATTCCAAGGATGAAATTTTGAAGAAATGTATCTCTGGATTTTATCTCACCGGTGAGAAAGGTTACTTAAAATGTACATGGGATCAGAGGCTTGCGATCGATTGTAAAGTTAACGTTTCCCCGTCCGATGGTCACGCAAGACTTTTCTCCGAAATTCTGTGTAGCAAGGCTTATGCAGATTCTAAGATCGTTTTCTTGTCCCTCATTCCGTGCTTTTAAAATGATTTTAGCCAGCCATATAATACGGCGACTTTCCGTGGTTCAGGACGAATTTTTGCGATGGCTTCGTTATCGCGAACGTGGAATTAAATGACAAAAATTCGTTTAAAATAGACGATTGACACTAGAGGAATGTATAAAAAGCTGGTTCTCGATCAAGATTGCAAAGGTTTAGTCCAATAATATTACACATACAGTAGGCTTTCGTTTTTCTGTAATACAGAAAATACTGAGAAAGGCCAGTACCACCCTCCCCTCGTCCCAGTGCATCCAGTTTGAGCGTGGCCCTTTAAGCCCCCACACTCTAGATGGTTAAACTGAATTGAAAGCAAACGATGTCCACCTTCAAAAGAAAACCTAGCGGTCAGCTGTCAGCTGTCAGCAAGGTCAATTACAGGGTCTCAATTCACCAGCTGAGCAGAGGGAATGAGCCTAAATACGAATCGTGAACGACAGCAGGTGATAAGCAGCTTCCAATGAAAACGTCGTAGGCATGGTTTTGCAAATGCAGGCCGGAGAATTATAACTGAAACCGAACAAAATGTGAATATTGTGAACGCAGAAACAAAGTGCAGTATAGAATGTGAAAGTATGCAAAAACCAAGCGTCAGCAGTAACGCCACGTGTCAAAAAAGCGAAGTGAAATAAAGGTCAACTTTGGATCGAGTGCACGTAGACAACACTTGCCAATGACAAGACTCTAAGTAAAGAAATGGTGTGCAAGGAGTTGAGTGACGTTCCTTTTCTTATTGGGCGAAGCAAAGGCTTGAAACGAGTAAGCTGGCTCCAAAACTAAGACCTTATTCAAAAAAGCATTTACGCCTCTAGGCACCACACTACTACCACACAGGACTCATTCATGAAGGAACATATGCGATTGATATGTAGGTTTCAACCGCAGTCTTTTCAACGCAACGTGAAAGTTTTTAGGGGTAAGACTCATGATGATGATAACAATTTCAGCGATTAAATTTCGTGGTTTGGATTGTACGTATAACATCGAGGACTAAACGAACCATTGTAGTTACGGGATAATTAAGTTTTGTCAACTGAGTTGTAGATTTTTTTGGAATTTGGCCATCGTAACGTGCTTTCTAATGCTGACGTTTCTAGCGCTATCCCTTCGTCCGAGCAAAAACCCAGTGTAGTTCCGGCTGAATCCTCGCATAGAGCATAAGTTGGGGCTGTAAAACATGTCAAGTTATGTGACCGCAAAAGAGGGAGCAAAGAATGCGTGAAACAAACGATAAATCGTCTGTCTTAATGAAATAAGGACAGGGGCTGAGAGACACGTAGCAACTGACGCACTAAACTTAGCCTACAGGCTGACCTCACGACAGAACAGAATTACCTCACGGCGAAAAAAAATCGCGTCAAAATTAGTCTAACTTGCTGCAGGACAAATTATTTGAATTCTTTGAAAAACAAACCAAACGAGATTCGGAAAAATTGAGCGGGAAAGCAAGTTGGGTGAAGTAACATCGAATAAAGAATCAGGCAAATGGGAAGTAACCTTCTTTAGCACAATTGGTTTGCAAGGCAATATTTTCGCCCTCTTTAACCTAGAGTAATATGAGATTTTTCTTTTTAAACAATTCCGCTTTGTTTGAATCACTGTTTGTTTCTCTGCTAATTTTTCCATTCGCGTTCAAGTTCTCGGGAGTCATCCTCGAATACTTTAAAACTCATGCGAATTTCCGACCTTCACCTAACTTCGCCTTCTATTTCTTCGGTTATTATATGTTTTCAATATTTACTCCCTATTCACTTGCAATGAAAGGGAGGTTTCTCTCTCTTGGAGAGGTGGAAACGGAAGGAGTTAAAATAGTCATATCAGCTCGTCTGTTTAAATATGACAGCAATAAAGGGAAGACACCGTTGATAACAAATATTCCCATAAATGTATATTTTTAATAGCAGCCTTAGAAACCTGATTTTTTTTAGCTAAAGGTTTTTAAGCAAGAGGCAAAAATTAGTAATAAAAATTTTGCATAACTGAAGTGGAGTTTGGTAACATAATGAATCCTTCCTTCAAACAGGGTCATTTGAAATGAGCACATGGAGGGAGAAGTTCTTTTAAATCGTTCGAGCACGTCAGCATAGCATGTTTGTGCCTGTGCATTGCAAGCTTTTTTCAGTCGTGTCGTTATGTTCAAGATGCGATGATTTGCTTCTTCCAAAATTCTTATTTTGTTTTCTCAGTGCCTTTGAATGATCTGCGTTAAGATAGGTATTGATTTAGTTTGCACTTTTCCTCGGAGATTGAAATATTTAGATTGGGTTTATAACAAGACTTCAGGTATGTTTTCGTCTGTTCCAACAAAGATTTTGACAGCGTGTTTTTTGGTGTATTATTTTGCATTCTTTCTCTATTCGCGTCAGTGCAATGCAAAAGCAATACACCTCTTAATTTTTCGTTCGTTGATTGAATACTTCAAGAAATCCTCAGCCTAACGTTTTCTCTTAATGATTGATATGCCGCTTCCATTCACAAGACGGTGTGCTTACGTAGACACCTCTATCAACATCAAAAGGAAAGAAACATCTATAATCAAGACTACTCTGATAGCCATCCTCACATTATCAGACATTTGCTATTCCGCAATCTTCTTCTCGGGCCGTTTTTGTTGGTTATTACGGTGGAATCAGTTAATGACGTTCTCTCCGCAAAATATCCATTCAGACCTTTTCCCGAGTCTCTGTGGAGGTCTCTGCATTTTCTGTTTATTGTTGGGGTGAAAGCAGTTAGTGAGGTACTCTGCCCAATCTTCAACGAGGCCTTCTCCCAATTCTCTATCGGGGTATCCGTATTTCCTGTTTATTGTTGGATTGAAAGCAGTTAGTGAGGCACTCTTTGCCAAAGCTTTACCCAGCCCTTTTCTCCAGTCTCTGTCGAGACATCTGTTTTCGTTATTGATTGTTAGGGTGCAAGCAGTTAATGACCTACTCTTCGCTAAACCTTCGCCCAGGCCTTTTTCCCAGTCTCGATCGAGGCATCCGTTTTCGTTGTTTGTTGTTAGGGTGAAAGCAGTTAATGAGGCACTCTTCACCAAACTTTCACCCAGGCCTTTCCCCCAGTCTTCATGCAGGACTGCGTAATCGATTATTGGCGTAAAAGCAGTTATTGACTTACTCCTCGCCAAACCCTCACCCAAGGCTTTTGCCTAGTCTTGATCGTAGAATCCGTGTTCGTTGTTGATTGTTAAGGTGAAAGCAGTTAGTGACTTACTCTTCGCCAAACCTTCACCCACGGCTTTTGCCCAGTCTTGTTTGTGGAATCCATGTTCGTTGCTGATTGTTAGGGTGAAAGCAATTAGTGACGGACTCTCTGCCAAACCTTCACCCAAGGCTTTTGCCCAGTCTTGATCGTAGACTCCGTGTTCGTTGTTGATTGTTAGGGTGAAAGCAGTTAGTGACTTACTCTTCGCCAAGCCTTCACCCACAGCTTTTACCCAGTCTTGTTTGTAGAATCCATCATGTTCGTTGTCGATTGTTACGGTGAAAGCAATTAGTGACGGACTCTCTGCCAAACCTTCACCCAAGGCTTTTGCCCAGTCTCGATGGTAGCATCCGTGTTCGTCGTTGATTGTTAGGGTGAAAGCAGTTAGTGACTTACTCTTAGCCAAACCTTCACCCACAGCCTTTGACCAGTCTCCATTGTAGGATCCGCGTTTGTTGTTGATTGTTAGGGTGAAAGCAGTTAGTAACTTACTTTCCGCCAAACCTTCACCCACGGCTTTTGCCCAGTCTTAATTGTAGGATCTGCTTTTATTGTTGATTGTTAGGGTGAAAGCAGTTAGTGACTTACTTTTCGTCAAACCTTCACTTAAGCCTTTTCCCCATTCTTCATACAGGTCTCCGCGTTTGTTGTTGATTGTTAGAGTGAAAGCAGTTAGTGACTTACTCTTCGCCAAACCTTCACCCAGGACGTTTCTCAAGGCATTACTGATGTATCCGTATTTGCTGCCTATTGTTAGGGTAAAATCAGTTAATGAGGCACTTTTCGCAAAACCTTCACCAAGGTCTTCTCCCCCGTCGTCATGCAGGACTCTGAAATAGGCGTTGATTATTAGGGTGAAAGCAGTTAGTGACTTACTCTTCGCCAAACCTTCACCCCCGGCTTTTTTTCCAGTCTTGTTTGTAGAATCCATGTTATTTGTTGATTGTTAGGGTGAAAGCAGTTAGTGAGGCACTCTTAGCCAACCCTTCACTTAAGTCTTTTTCCCAGTTTTAATGCAGGTATCCACGTTTGGCGTCGATTGTTAGGCTGAAAACAGTTAATGAGGCACTCTTCGCCAAACCTTGACCCAGGGATTTTTTCCAGTCTTTATTCTGGTATCCGTCTTCGTTGTTGATTGCTAGGGTGAATGCAGTTGCTGACTTAGGCTTCGCCAAAACTTTACCGGGGACGTTTCCAAAGTCTCTACCGAAGTATCCGCATTCGCTGTTTATTTTTAGGGTGAAATCAGTTAATGTGGCACTTTTCGCCAAACCCTCACCCCGGCCTTTTCCCAAGTCTCTAAAGCAGTATTCTTCTTCATCCAGGTCGTTTCTTAAGTCTCCATCCAGGTCGTTTCTTAAGTCTCCATCCAGGTCGTTTCTTAAGTCTCCATCCAGGTCTTCACCGACTTTGTCGATTGTACGGTGAAAAGCAGTTAGTGATGCGATATGTGCTAAACCTTCATTATGGCGTTTTCCCCAGTCTCCCCTTACTAAAATATTGCGAGCCTCGCCTTCGTGCGAGCCAGTTCTCTGTTTCCGCGATATCTGTCTATAAACAGGCTGACGGACTGATGAATTCTCGACATTAACCTCGTTTTGGGCATCACTAATTCCTTTGCTGACCGCATGGAGGGTTTTAGAAGGGGGATATGTTATAATCCAAAGAGGTCCTTCTTCGTTTTTCATCCATATTCGAAATAAGGGGTACTTGTCAATGCAGGCTATATTATTTTCACCGTCCCCATGTAAGTGTCCTTCATATAACGTTTTCTTTCTTTCTCTCTGGTAATCAGTCACGTCTCTTGCGGATGGGTGACTCGTTTTATCCTCCACAAGGCAAGGATCTTCAGAATGGCATTTATTCAGGGGTAAAGACCTTCCTTGGATATGCTGACTTAACCAAGTCGCTATTAAGCGCACTCCTGGTGTCCTACAAAATAATTATATGTTCAGTGCCCAGTGAAGTAGGTTATGGTCAATCCTAGAAAAATTTATTCCGCTGTAACATCCAAAGGTATTTTGCCCTGTTTGGCCTACTTTAAGTTATTACGTTTGAGCCTTTAAATTGAATCATTTAATCACAAATATACACAGTTTTATTTCTCACAGATAACGATGTAAACACTTTCTCACGTTTTCTCTCAATTTTTAATTAAAATTCCTCAAATTGGTTGATGAGGAAAAAGTTCAGATTCCGTTTCTGCTTTGTTTTATTTCTTCTTTATTAAACACAATTTGCTATTAGAGCACCTCATTACACTTGCTGGCATTTCATATGACTTCTAGGAGGCTAGAAGTCCAAAAAGATCCACAGAAGTTGAAGTTTCTCCTTTCTCTAAAATTAACTGAGGTTAGTTAACAAGTATCGAGTGGACGAGCCACGCGCTCGGGCATGTTCTGCACATGTTCTGCGCATGTCTCAAGAGAGTTTGTTCTTGCGAGGATTAATTTCTCTCAACACAGAGAAAGATACACCAGTATCGTTTTCGCATTTGTCTGAGGTATTTGGTGTACTTAAGGTGGCTGGTACCAGTTTTCATCTTTTCGATAGTTTGTAACTTCAAAGGATACAACAAAAAGACTGACCAAGGCCAGTTGAACACTTTTACAGGGTTTAATTATATAATCAATGGCTATCCAAAAATAGGTGTAATTTCGTCACGAGCAGTTTCCATAGCAACGTTTTCAAAGGACTATTCAGACGTATTTTTTTTGCTAATGGCTCAAATAATTTGAAAACTAACTCGGTGACCACGTGATTTTTCTTAGTGATTGCCTTCGGCACTTGAAAAGGAAAATGCCCAAAGATTTTTAGAAAATTATACGCAACGGAATTTCAGAAAATTTAGAAAAGGAAATTTTCACGCCTCGCAAATATCCTTCCGTAGAATTTTCTATTTTTTTCTTCTGACGATTCCTTTCAACGTTATTATTGTATTGGAACAATAAAGAGAAGGGGTCACCGGACTCGTTTTCATGAAATAGCTTTCGTGAATTCAGTATTTCCCACGCGCGTTCTCGCGCACTGAAAAATCTGGATTCTATAGGATCGACATTTGCTCGTGATCTGTTATAGCTATCGCTGACTATCACGCGTGTTCGCACGAGCACCTACGATCTGATGTTTACAGACGTTTGCTGCTGAGAAAATCATCCAATAGCCATCAGAGAAAGCCTCCCGGGCTTATATTAAAGGACCTACTCACAACTTCTGGCCATATTATATTATTTTCCTTGAAGTTTCACAGTCTTCTTCCACTTCAGGCAGATTATCCTTCACTTTAGTTCTCCTTTTTCGCCGCCGCATGATTTCATATCGGTTAGATATTTCATTTAGATGTGAAGCAACCTTTATGTCTCCGAGAATCGTCTTCTTTATCTTCGTTTCTGTCTCCGGCATACGGAGTGGCCGTTCAACACATCACTTACACGCTGTTGGGTAAACTTCTTACAAAAGTAGAAAAAAGCCTCGCGCCGCCATCTTCGTTTTGAATTTTCGTCTTTTAATCTCGCGCTTCTGTCTCACGTTTCTCTTGCGCGTGACGCAAGAGTGACCTGTTCCCCGCGCGAGGAAACTAGTGCTAGCCACCTTAAGTGTACTCATACCGTGGGCAATCGTACTTAAAGAGCGGATGCTGCAATCAGTGATACCTTCACTTGCTTTAATCCCTCGGCCATACGGGATCAACGATACTAACTCATTAGAGGTCTCTGGAAAAACCTTCGCAAGACCATTGAATCACTCACGCACGCACGTACGCACGCGAGATATTTACCAAGTCTATATATACCAAGTCTATATATACCAAGTCTATATATACCAAGTCTATATATACCAAGTCTATATATACCAAGTCTATATATACCAAGTCTATATATACCAAGTCTATATATACCAAGTCTATATATACCAAGTCTATATATACCAAGTCTATATATACCAAGTCTATATATACCAAGTCTATATATACCAAGTCTATATATACCAAGTCTTAA